CGAAGATAAGCTGAAATCTCTCAAATTGTTTTCTGTTGAAAAAAAGAAGAGTTAGGGTGGATCTGATTGAGGTGTTTGAGATTGTAATGGGAATTGATAGTGTATCATCTTTTTTTATATTAGAAATGAGAATAATAGGACTAGGGGACACAAATATAAATTTTGGCAAGGTAGGAGTAATCTTCAGCCAAGACAGTTTTATTTTTCTAACAGGGTGGTTAGCCTTTGGAATGAGTTGCCTTCAGATGTTGTAGAGGCAGTAAATTCAAGTGAAATTAATAAAAAGCTTTATAAGTATATGAATGAAAAGGGCTGGGTTTAATTTTTTTTTAAATCATTTTATTTTAATTTTCGGGATGGAACAGCTGAGATGGACCAATAGGTCCCACATTATACCAAAATATGTTATGTTATGCTAATCAATATGATGGACCAACTTCAGACTGGGGCACCGTCTTCCTCATCCAAATTTTGTAAAGTTTCTTTGTACAAAGGAAGTTAATAAGCTTTGACAATAATGAATTCTAGTCTGCAGTTAAAATTATGCTCATTATCCAGGGTAATTCTTAGATAGTAAAGTAATTGTTAATAAAATATGACAAACTAAAAACCAGTAGTGATTTGCGTCCATGATAAATTAGTGGTATAGGATTACAGAGTCCAAATACAATAAACATTGCATGATTTAGAAGAAACTGTCATGGTATTCTGAAGTTTGGAATAACAAATATACAGCTACTTGATCACTTTAAAACTGAGGTTTTTAGATTTAATGTAATTTGGCTGGCTGGAATAAATACATTACAATAAAGACACCATAAATGAACTAAAATGTAGTGCATTGGATAAACGTCCTATGAATGAAAAAATGAAAATGAAGAACTGAAGATAAATAACTAAATGTGTGAAAAAAAATTAAATAAACTTGGATTTGATGAAATAAAAATATGGTAAAACTTAAGCAAAAGACATAGAATGTGACAAGAGGAATTCTTCTGTCTTCTGGAAACAACCTATCTTTTATATTCTTATTATAGATTTTTTTTATGAAGATTCTTTTGCATTGTGAGCCAGAAAAAACTTGTGGGTCATTATTTGTAATTATGGTGAAAAATAATGTAGGTGGTAATCATGGTAACTAACAGAAATACAATTTATTCCTTATATGTGACAATGCTCTATAAAATTAGCTATATTAATTACTTTGTTAATTTTATTCTAGGTAGCTTGTTTTTACCTGACGTTAATGATAATAAAACCCAAACCAATATGCAGCAGTGACTACAGTCGGGATTGAATTCTTCTATAAAAGCTAAAGTTAAAAGAAACTTGTGGTGATGATTACAATCCAGACTGGATTCTGCTAGAGAAGCCATGGTTAAATTAAGCTTCTGGTGATGATTACAGAACAAGATGGCCTTTTCTATAGATACTAGAATTAAATTAAACTCATGCTGGTGATTACAGTCCAGTTTGGCTCCTTCTATAGAAGCTAGGGTTAAATCAAACACACGCTGGTAATTACAGTCTAAACTGGATCCTTCTATAAATGCTAGGATTAAATCAAACATGTACTGGTGATTACAGACCAGCTTGGATCCTTCAATAAAAGCTAGGGTTAAATTAAACATGTTCCAGTGATTACAGTCTAGACAGGATCCTTCTATAAAAGCTAGGGTTAAATTAAACATGTTCCAGTGATTACAGTCTAGACAGGATCCTTCTATAAAAGCTAGGGTTAAATTAAACATGTGCTGGTGATTACAGTCCAGCTTGGATCCTTCTATAAAAGTTAGGGTTAAATTAAACATGTTGGTGATTACAGTCCATACTGTCTCCTTTAATAAAAGCTAGGGTTAAATTAAACATGTTGGTGATTACAGTCCATCTTGGCTCCTTTAATAAAAGCTAGGGTTAAATTAAAGACATGCTGGTGATTACAGTCCAGACTGGCTCCTTCTATAAAAGCTAGAGTTAAATTAAAGACATGCTGGTGATTACAGTCCAGACTGGCTCCTTCTATAAAAGCTAGAGTTAAATTAAACATGTGCTGGTTATTACAAACCAGACTGGCTCCTTCTATAAAAGTTAGGGTTAAATTAAACGTGTTGGTGATTACAAACCAGCTTGGATCCTTCTACAAAAGATAGGCTTAAATTAAACATGTTCCAGAGATTACAAACCAGCTTGGATCCTTGTACAAAAGCTATGGTTAAATTAAACATGTTCCAGAGATTACAAACCAGCTTGGATCCTTGTACAAAAGCTATGGTTAAATTAAACAAGTACTGGTGATTACAAACCAAACTGGCTCCTTCTATAAAAGCCACTAACCCAGTCATAAAGCCAACTAAACTACAAACCTAGTGATTAAAATGATCAACAGTTAACCACTAACCCAGTCATAAAGCCCACTAATAAAACTACAAACCTAGTCATAAAATATTTAACAGTTAGCCACTGACCCAGTCATACAACTACAAACCTTGTGATTAAAATGAACAGTTCACCACTAACTCAGTCATAAAACCAACTAATACAACTACAAACGTAGTTATTAAATGATTAAGAGTTAGCCACTAACCTGGTAATAAGTTGATCGCAAGACACAGTAATAGGAAACTGCTAATAATATCACAATAAATAATAGTAGGAAGTCACTATAAGTATAACAGTCATAAACTGATCAACACTTTAGTCAAGAGCTGATTAGCAGAAAGCCACTATTTTTTCTATTATACATGCTTACTATTGAATATAACTAACCCAGTTACCGAATGTTAGCTAAATGTGTTCGAAAATTCACTATATAAACCTAAACTGTAATTGTTAAATTATTATCATCCATAATAAATTAATATTGATCAACAGGTGTTGATTACGAACGTAATTTCACGTAAAACTTGCATGTCACGTCACTTTTCAAGAGAAGCGAAAAACATTTGGGAATAGTACAAAGAAGGCTTTAAATATGTTAGTTACAAAAATAAATAAATAGAAAAGATAAGTAAGGGCCTAGTGACAACTTACGTAAACAGAACCGAGTAAACTAAACGTTAAAGTAGGCTCGATGATCATTCCTGGAAGTTCGGTGTTGTTTTCTAACCACACTGTGCTGAGAACTGTTGCTCAATGTGATATTTATAAAAACAGTGGAGAAAAAGGTACTAAAAGCAATGCTGTTTCGCTTCAAAGCTTTTCGGTTTCACTTCTAAAAAGGACAGAGGGATTTGAGTTCCATATGCACATGTATGCTGGTTAAGCATGGTAACAATTGTAAAATATCTTTTAAACTGTTACATAACTTCCTCGAAAGGGGGTCGAAGACCGCCTGGGAGTCACCTGCTTTAACCACTCGCACCAATATATAGTAGTGTATTGTCTGTCAGTCAGTTAGTATACACTAAAATGACGTCACATAAGGGATGCTTAACGTTGCATTTATACTTGAGTGACGTCAGTAAAACGTGTGCATGAAATGAGTCACGAGAACAATTATGCACTCTGTATGCTACAACACAACATGAAAAATGAATTTCAAAAGCATGAAATAAAAATCTTTCTTACTCTTAATTTTGGTTTTATTTACTCTTGAAACAGTTCACTCTCCAGGACCCTGCGGAAGTACATCTTGTAACAGTATGATGATTATTTTGGCGTTTTTATAAAATATACGACAAGAAGATGATGTTATAATCCTCTCAGAAAATGTCAAACAATGAAGTTCTCAGTGTCTATCCTAATACTTTCTACAGAAATAGTACTATTCTATGTTTAAAACATTATAAAAACATATATAATATTAAAAAGAGAACAGCAAACATGCGCACATAATACATGTTGAAGAAAGTAATGTAAACAACTGTAAATTTCTACGGGTTTTTATCAATACGGAGGTTATCAACCCCAGAAGACAACAGGGCATCAAAACGGCATGTAACTGAAGAAACGATGCGATATGCAACAGCCAAGTCATCATATTAGAAAACACATAGGTCCAAAAAAGAAACAAAGACTAAAATAAGAATAACTCGAGCGTTTTAAAAAGGTAGACCTTTCCTCATAAGGCAAACCTTGAAGACGAAATGTCTACCTTTTGAAAGAGTTCGGGCTACTGGGATTCTTATATTTCTACCAGCCAATGATATTTTTGAGCATTCGTTGTTGCTGGAAGCTCTTGATATGATGGTGGTGGTGGAAATCTGCTTCAAAGCTTGGCTTCAAGAATTTACCATAGAGGATCAATAACATTTAAATCTGCTTGGATGCCCAAACTCTTCCTCGTGTTCTTTAACAATTTCATCAGTATTAAATCGTCCATTGTATTCCCGAAAGAGTTACACTACCACATGACGATATGTTCTCCTATAGGACAAACAAATTAAATATGGACCCTCGGAGTTGAAAAATGTGAAGCGTTTCTGTTACATTGTCCAACCCTGCACATACAAATAAATACGGTGTCAATCGTCACATACACATTCACACATATATTTGCGTCACATAAAAAATTATAAAAACGAGGGAAAACAGGTCGATGTTACTGCCATCTATTGTGAAATACTGACACAAATGTTAATATCAAGTGGGCATTAATTTAGATGTCAATGTTTTATATAAGTTTCTACTAACAAGATAAATATACTTAAGAAATTCATCCACACCAAATGGAACTCATTAAAAACTAGTAAGTTATCGAGTAGAACTAAAAATAAAATAACTTGTATAGCGCTTCTTGTAATTATATCACATTAACAGACAAACCGCTCATACTCATAGTTAACAATGATCAGTTGGTAATAGATCACTATAGTGCTTGTTCCGGTTTTAAAACACTAATAATCTATCATGACTACAATTTGAATAGCAGCTTCAAACTTTATAAACGGCAATATCAAGCTTAAACAGTGCTTTATATTTATATACTAATATCTCTCTTTATGTATTGAGTATATATATATATATTTGCATGAAAACAGAAACGTCATGCTGTGCGACCAAACTCTCAACTTTGAAATTTCCAGGAAATAGGTTTGTATTCGTTCGATAATGCATCAGTTGCAAGAATATTAACAGAGAATGTTACGTATACAGATAGTATGACAACAATAAAGTTGCTAGTTATAAAGACTATACATCCAAAAAATCAAACAAAGAATTCAAAATGCCGGATCCCGGTACGACGCCTTTAAAAAAAAAAATTGTAAGTTGTATTACTATTAGCAAGAAACATAAAAAAAACGCTGTATCTTTGACCACTGTCGATTTTGCAATGATGAACAAATAATATATAACTTTAATATCCATTAAAAATTCTTCCTCTGTCTACAGTCGTATCGACATGAGAAAAACAACTAAATCTCTATTTATACCAGTTAAGATAAACTACGTACCTAGTTTAAGGGCTACCTGCACAGTGGCTAGACCTGTATTTCCTGTTGCTCCAAATATTACGATTTTTCTTATGTTAGGTGTCATTGTTTTTACTTTACTACCGAACTCACTCGTTTACGTTAGATTTCGGTTCAACATCGGTTTTTTGCGCCCTCTTTTGACATCACGGTTTTAATTAAATTGCGTTTAGCGGGATGATAAATAATTTTTTTTCTATGTGATATTTGGGTATGTTTCAAAAGTATCTAGCTGTAAAAATATTAAACTAGTTTAAACGATGTTTTTTCATTAAAACTACCTGTCAAAAGTTATCAACTAAAAATTTCGACTCTATGTTGAAATACGCCTAAAATTGAAAGGGAAATAAATGTATGAAATATATAAATAAATATATATCCTGAACCGTTAAGACGAAAACGAAGTGATTCACCAAACATTAAATGAAATTTATCACAATGTTGTAACTGCGGTGTAATGCTACTAGTGTATTTTTGAAGTTAAGGAACTAAAGTATGGAATCAGTGGTGTAGATCAATGGGGTCGCAAGGGAGCACCGACCCCTCACTTCGTGTGCATGGAGAGCGCCACTCCCGTTCTAAGATGCATACTGTTTTCCCCTTGTACATTAAAATGTGTATCGATGCGATTGTAATCACGTCTATAATATGGAACGCTCTGTGTAGAATTAAGTTTTCATCACTAACTGAAATTTCTTTGACCTTGCATATACCTCAAGCACTTATTGTCTGAATTTGTAATTAGTAATCACGATATTAAATAACAAGTTTGATAATCAACTGTTCTGTTGTAGGGAGATCTTGGCGACGTCTCACTTCTAAATTTAGCATTACAAAAATATCTTATGTGCACGTGACCTAAACAGCCATGTCAGAGGGTTCGATTCCTAATTTTATATTAATGACCATAGGAGCAGCAACATCTACTATCTTCGATCTGACCAATGGAATCCATTGTTTCTTTGTGCCACAGTTGAGCTCATTCTACATCATCACATTCTGTCTTCATCCCGGTAAGTTAAAAACTAGGCTACGCCCAACCAATGTGAGTATGACTCGAAAGACTGCACAAAGTTAATGTTTTTGTTATTATCCTATAATTACAGGCCAATTTCGGGAAATTGTTAGTGCTCACATTACTTTTTTAACTAATTGCTTTCGTACTATTTAATGTGATAGTATACAGAGTTAAAGGTAAGAACTGGGTAAAGATTTAAATGACACAAAGAGGAATGACCTTCAGCAATAAATAACTAGAACACTAACATTGTAGCCACATTGCACCACAACTAGTTTCTCTGTAGATATAATGTGACAATGGGCGTCCGCAGGATATTGTTACGTCTCCGTTCGTTCGTTAATTAATTTTCCGTAAATTCGTTCCAACGAAATTTTAGCGACACAAGTCCTTTCTTAAATAAAACTGATTTATTCTTTCCGAATACAACTTTACCGATACACTTAATTTCAACAGTCGTTCTCTAACAAATCCTAGAACGTCTCACGTGCTCGACAATACTCAGTTCAATTACACAATGTCCCGTCACGTTGTGACCATCTTATATATATACCAGCCTACCCCCAATCTAGTAGTCTCCCGATAATTCTCGAAGGTTCGAGAAGGGCATGGCGTGATACTAGTCACGTGACCTCGATGTCGTAACACTGCCCCTTCCTTAGTATTATTCATCCCGAACAATAGCCACTTACATTAAACCAATAACAATTAACAATAACTTAATTAAATGTACAGAATTACAAACACAAAATTACAATTCAACAAAGTCTCTTAATTTTACGGGACATATCATATTCCGTACTGGTCTCTGTCTCGTTGGCTTCTGCTTCACGTGGAGTTCATCTGCTTCATCA